CCATGATTTCTTACCTTTTGGAGTTCCTTCTCGATCTCGAGAGCGCGCAGAAGGAGAGGACCACGCACTGCATATTCCATCTTTCGAAGATTGGTGAAGACATTGTCCTCGGTGAGGACCTTACTCCCAGGTGGACCGCTCGCCATGCCGCGATGATGTGTTTTATCGGAAGCCGGCCGGTGGACTACCGACTCAGCAGCCGTCAAACGTGCAGATGTTCTGCCTCTCAACGTCCCTGACCCCGCGGAAGCAGTCAGTTGTTCCCACGTCCTAGGCCGACTGCTCGCGATAACAGCGTTCCACCAGCGTGCCTGCGGCATCGTTTCACCGGTCGGTCCTCTCTTTTTACCTCCAGTTACCAGACGTTTCCGCTAATTCGTTTGACGATCGTAGAGTGGGGGGAAGGACGTCCGCGCATGCGCAGGGCGCTAAAAGCAAACAAACGGATGGAGTCGAGAGAGAAAGAGATATTGCAAAATAAAAACAGCTAAAATTAACTTATTACTGTCGCATACGGTGCAATAATTTGACATTTTGTCGAAAAAAGCATGAAAACACGTAACAACTGGATCAGCAATGTCACTTACAAATAGATGATTAAAGCAGCACAAATGAGATGAGAGAGCAGCAAAAAGATGTTCTAAAAATATCTGCAAAAAGGATTATCTCAGTAATAACAGATAATGTCAATGTATTTTAGGAGTGAGAACGAGTAATTTATGAAGTTTTCAATGACAGATATAGACCTGGAGTCACAAGAAGTATCTAACTTTCAGTACTGCATTAATTTGAACCAATATTATAATTGAACAAACAGCAAAAAATATTTAAAAAATGAACTAGTATAAAGTTTCAAAGGAAAATTATTAACAGCATGGTTTCAATAGAAGACTTTTTATAGTCCAACAAGATTCACAGAATTCTCACATTAACGTATATGGCCTTTAGCATTTTAATCTATGAACACATTATATTAATCCCGCCAACAGTACATTGTAAAAGAATTCATACTTCCACAATTATTCATTACAACTGATTAGCTCAATTATTACTTCTTTTAGCAAATAGACTATATAAATATGTATCATAACTGGTTAAGTTTTTTAGTAAAATAAATTTTCCTAAGGGATATTGATTAGTTATAGCAAAAATAGGTAGGCAAAAATTAAATTAAAAGTCAAAAAAGAAAAATTAAAAAAAGTATGAATACTTGTAGGATTTACTGTACGTAGATGATGGAAAGATTTGAAATAGATATAGATAAATCTGTATACACACATATATATATAAATTCAGACACATATATATGTATACATACATATATATACACATTTGAATATAATGGCATTACATAATCAGGACTTTTTAGAATCTAAATTGGAATCATTCAATGTTATTTTTCCTTATTTTTTGTGTATGTAATTAGACCAGCTCATCAAGTTTGTAAAGAGGGAAACATTATGCAACTTACGAGAGCCTTTTGATTAAATGAACACCTGTTAATTGAATTTTCAGATTGAACTACACTGACTCTCGGAGAAATTGCTGCACACGCGCAATATATGAAATTATAATAATGGGATCAGGAACGTACGAATTCAAAGGTGGAAAATATTTCATTCCCATTTATACAGTGACATAATGTACATTTCATTAACAAATAAAATAAAATAAATTAATATTTTTCTCATCATCAACAAGACGAATTTTCCAGTTTTCTTTTTAATGACAATTATGTACGAGATTATTCGATGAAAAATGTTATCGACGCGACATCTAACGTTCTACTATACCAAATAAATTCACGAAATACCATTTTCGTACTCTCAGTAGATAATTAAATTGTTAAGTCATTAAACTAGATTAAATGAATTAAAAACAATAAAAACATACAATGAAATGAATGTTTAAATAGATACATTGTAAATAGCTTGATATTTAAATATTTATATTATATAGGTTTTGTATTATATAAGCTGTAATTTATGTACAGAATATTTTAATTTTATAACTTAATTAATGTCATTTTAGAAAGAAATAAAATAGGTATTGCAAAAATACTTCTAATATTTCTAATTCTTTATAAAGATAACTATCATACTCCCCCATTTTGATAGATAATCCCATTTCAATTTCTTTAATAATAAAAAAAATTAGCAAATGATAAATATAATAAATTATATTTTATCTGTTATACGAATTATCCTTATCATCTTTGTTATCTGTTGTACGAATTATCTTGTCTTGCTACGAATTTAATTTAATTTAATGTAAAGCACTTATATTAGTATCTAGTTACGTCATTAAGAGTGTTGCAATAAGCATGGAAATAAAAATACTGTTTTTGTCAGTCAAACTAATCACTATGTGTCTGAATCCAGTAAACAATATTTTCTGACTTCATTATCGAGCTTTACCATTTAATATTTAGATAAATAAAATTCTAGATATTTAGAATATATAAATGAAGTTTCTATTTTCTATTCTTTTATCAGATTCCTATAACACTCAAAAATAGACAATAAATAAAATAAGTAAAGTCAATAAAAATAAACTATATAATACAATAAATAATTATTCTATTTTCTAACTTATTTATTTCTATGTTAGTTAGTCCCGATAACATGTAAAATTCTATTAAAAAATAAATAATAAATAAAATAAAAAATTTAAAATGAATCATTTTTATGGAATTTGATAGAGAACTGATTTGGAGGAATTTTTTAATGGAAAACTGTTGCAGTTACTTATAGATACTGATTGTTCGACTTTGAAATCTTAATGTTCACCGTGACTTAATTAATTGATAGCCTTGATCTCTTTTCTATATCCCCTATCTATATAAGCGCAATCTAGATCAATATTAAGTTTTAAAAATCGAAATTTAAAACAGAAATTCTACCAAATAAATTAAAAACTGGCATATTATGTCATTTTCAACGACTACCCATAATTGTAAGAACAAATAGAAAGCAGAAAAATAGGTTGTCACTCAACGAAAGCAAGAACTGATATGACGACACGGTTTAAATGGTTTAAAGACTTTCTATTTATGTTCGATTGTCTCAATTACATACTCAAACAGAAAAATTTAAGTTATTAGCTCTCGATATGCATAAATAGGAAAGAAGACTAAATAATAACAGAAAATACTAATTCGAATGAAATAATCAATCGATTGACTAATAGAGAATGACGACGATTCCTTTTCAACTGACTTTACAATTGTATTGTGCACTTTCTCGCGGACAAAAATGTCGTATTAACGCCATTTTAGACGTCTTCTATCGTATCAACATTTTAAATTTCTCCGAAGTCTTTGATTGCAGTTACTCGACATTCCAGTGTGATAGATATTACTTTTTCGAAATCAGATTTGTTGCAATCCTCATAGGAGGAGAATTTATTCCTCATATAATTTATTCTAGCTGATAAAATATTTTTGAATTAATCACACGAATAATAAAGAATAATAAGCTTAATAACAGAATAACTTGAATGAAACTTTACCCTATGTATGGATGCTCCAGTGAAAAATTTCAAGTAGCTCTTACCTTCCCTAGTTGGAACAACCAATAGCGTCCTGGTCAGAACCACCAGACCAACAAACTTGATGGAACGGTTACTAGCCTTCTAACACAAGTATGTTTTAGTTCTAAGTGCTTCAAGTCAACTCACGTTGGACCATCGCCTTTGAGACGCATATCACGGGTCTGGCTTTTAAGTTTCATGCTCTGTCGCGGATTAAAGAGAAGGATCTCGGGGACTTCTAGAAAGCTTTCCTTACGCATTCTTCGCCCGACACACGTTGCACCGTTCTCTCACCTTAAAACCTCATTCGGCCAGCCGGAATGAATGCGTTTATCAGTTTCACAGAGGGCTCAGACGTGACCGCCGTTAGCTTCCACGAATTTGCCAGTGGTGATACTTGTCCCCTGGTGATACTCCAACCACGCTCTTGTCTGCGTGCTCTCGCTGCAGAACAGAGCGTGCGCAAAATGCGACCCCTGAGATGAACACACACTCTTTCCACTTGACGTAAATCGGATCATAGGTTATGTTATTTGCTGCTTGCAGCTAGGTCGCGATCTCTGTACTCTGAGCTCTTTTGTTGTTGTACGTTATCTCATCCCTTCCATTCTCTCAGAGATAAAAGAATATATGTATATTAGGAAGAGATACAAGATGAATTAAAATGATTGAGAAATTGTGGATGGTTATGCATCTGTGGGAAATTTGAAAGTCATAGAGTTAGAAACATATTCGAAAATGTGCGAAATATTTGAAATATAATTTACAAAAATTTGTAAATTTATTCCATTTATTGAAAATTGTACCTAAACGTTATATATATATATATATATATATATGATGTGAAATCCAAAATGCATACGTATATGTACATATGTGTACATGTATTATACATAATGCTCATATATAATATTTGATAGATGTTCAAACTATTCGAAAGTATCGCGTATTACAAAAAAATATATGAGTAACGTATATAATATAGTATTCTAAAGAAATATTTAAAAAAATTACGAACTTAACCTCCGTACAAGGTTGTTCAAGGCTGCAGAACATATTATGATTATAAAAATGACGTGTGTCTTAGATGTTCATATATCGTGGAGGTTTATATAAGATATACAGATAAGTTTGAACGATGCTGTTCATGGGTCATTGATCTCGTATCACATACGGCTCATCTCTTCCAAGATAAAAAGTGTAACGTTCCATTTAAATGCCTAAATGACACTGAGAATTTTGGCGCCATCTGCGAAATATTTCCCGCTTGGTAAATTATTTTTGAATCTATCAAATCTTTATTACAGCGATTAAATTTTCATTCGTGACGAATTAAATTTCTGATTATACAAATTCTTTTATCTTATTTTAAATCCTTAATTATCTTTATGAACCGTAAAATAATCCTAGCATTCAGGCACGTGGACTAGTATGTTTTTGCATTATTTATGACAATGACGAACGAGACGCGCGCAGTACGATAATGAGGAAAGAAAATTTCTTTCCCGCTTGAAGTTATCTGAAATTTGCCTGTTCAGTTAAAATGTACAGAAATATGTTAATTCTTTGTACTGTTTTCTTCTTTTTTATACCTATGCGCGTGTACATTGAGCAAGTATTTAGAACTTAAACATAAAATTAAAAGTTAAGTAAGCAAAGTATCATTTTGGAATTTGAAGAATTTCGCAATATAATAACTGGAAATTGTTTTATATGTCAAATATTTGGAGAAGTATTATATTTTGAATACCTTCTATGTAACATGCGTGTATTTTAAATTTTAAATTTCCCATGAATTTCATAAAAATTCGCATTGTAATAATTAAGGATAAATAAATGATAGTAAATATATCTTGCAACAACATAATAAATTGCATTTCGGAGTACCGGAATAATTATTCCTTCTTTTTGAGACAATGAGATAAGAAGAAGGAATAGTTTGAATGGTTCTTCTAGTTGTGTTGAACATCAACAGATAGCGCAGGAATCTATATGTATAAAATTAATAGATTTCCACGTGCATGATAACTTAAATCAATAAAATTAAATCGTTATAATCTTTGGACTTAAACTTATCTTCGGATAAGATAAGATTGAAATTTATATAACTGATTATATATCATAAGATTCGAGTCATGTTCAACGATTCCAATGTATTTACAGTCTAGAAAGCACGAGCAATACATTAAAATCTATGTAACATTTGAATAAAACGATACATGAAATTACATAAAGTTTAACTTAAGCTCACAATTGTCAAATATACGATGCTCTGACATTATAAGTTTTAAAACCTTTGGTTCATTTACCTACAGATATCATCATACGACGTAATGTACTTGATCTCCATTATTAAAATGCTTGCATTGATTTTTTTGTTTTCAACTGGACATTATAGTAGAAAAATCTTGAAACGGAGACGTTGTTCATCGTTGAACTTCCGCGCCATGATGACGCACAACTACCGTGCGCTCTGTATGTCGTTGACCAGAGGTTAAGTCCACTAGTAGCAATTGCCAGCCATAACATAAACAAATTCCAATGATGTGTCGCTGATCGTTACGAGTGGCCAGGGGGGAACGGGGCAAGAATGTTGTCATTTTTACGAAAAATTTCAATCGGGGGGAGGATAAAAGATGGTGTGCCGACGAGCGACGAGATGGAGGCTGTTGAAGACTGTCTGGATGCGAAGAACAGAGGTTTAGTCTCGCAGTCCGACACCGAGCTGAAGGAATCCGTTTATGGCAAGTCCACATTTCAACTTGAACTAGGGCTAGGGCTTCTCGCCTAGCTAACATTATATTGACAATTAGTCGACGGAGATATTGATACTTAACAAGTAGTTATCAAGCAAGTTAAGAATAATATACCTGTTAGTAATATAAAATTTTACTGAAATTGCATTGTATCTGGTACTCTCTTGCAGTTGTATTTCATTTGTAGTCGCCAGTTATTTTCTAAAATTGACCAAAAGGCGCATAATGTATGTTAATAGAAAAAGATTCAGCTAAGAAATCGTTTGTTACCATGGCTTATAAAATTTAAAATCATCATAGATTTATTGAGAACAATCAAGGATCCAGAGAAACCTCAAACATTGGAGCAATTGGATGTTGTCTATGAAGACTGCGTAGAGATCTTGAGGCAAACTCCCAAGGGAGTTTCTGTTATTCGCATTGAATTTAATCCGACAGTGCCTCATTGTTCTCTGGCTACATTGATTGGTTTGTGTATTAGAGTGAAACTAGAACGTCATTTAGTAGCCCTTTTTAAACTGGATATATTTATTAAGAAAGGCGCACACTCTACAGAACAAGAAAGTAAATATAATCAATCATTCTGTGTGAAAGGATTACCAGTTCACTTTAGTGTGCATTAAACGTTTCACATTTCAGTAAATAAACAAATAAATGACAAAGAAAGAATTGCTGCCGCCATGGAAAATCCTAACTTGAGAGAACTGGTGGAGAAATGTATTCAAGAAGAAGAGTGAAAGCCTAGCTTCTTTATGGTGCATGGATTTCATTATATTCAACACTGTTCATTTTTATAAGTATGTATACTTATAAATGAGGAAGATACAAACACAACTTTTACTTTCATGCAGAAGATTTCAAAAGGTCACATTTGCTGAGAGCAATGAATACTGATGGAATTTTACAATTTAAAACATTATTATAGTTGATTGTACAAAGTCAATGGTGCTGTAAATATATAGCATGGTTCTGTAGTTACTTTAAATATATTTTGTACGCATATTTCAAATCTTGAACTACAAACTTAATTGTAAATATATTTGCTATTAAAATTTCTTTTTTTTTTTTAATTCAAAAACCAATTGCAATTGATAATTATAACATTCAGTATTAAAATTCAAATTCCTATGTATATTTGATATAAAAATTTATTCTCTTTCGTTTAACAATTAATCCTCATTAGCCTTTGTTATTAAAAACAAAATCAAAATAATTGAAAGCAACAGAAATCCTTACAAATTTAATTGCATATAATTTAATTGTATTTAGTTCAACAGTTATTCATTCAAGAATCAATTTCTATCATGCCTCAAATTCTAAAAAAAAAAAAAATAAAAATTTAAAGAGTAATGGATACTAGTTTGCCAATAAAGATTAATAGAATCTTATCAACGAGTTTAAACAGAATCAAAAGGAAGGACAATTCCTTAAGAAGAATCAATTACCAGCTACAGATTCCAACATGAGAAAAACGAATTCTAGCTCCGAAAGAGTTCGAGGAACATCGCCTAAGTAACGGGTAGGAGGGAAGTGACCGGTGAGAGGTGCTGGGACAAGATGGGAATTATCCGGGGCCCCTTTCAGGCCCCCGAAGATGCTCCCCAGATACACTCGGGTGGGAAGAAACTGGGTTACTCGAGCCAGAAGGGAATGTGGGCCGGCTATATACCGGTTGCTTGTTCGTACACCGCAGTTCATTCTTCCTTCTCGTCGCGATCGACAAGTCGTGGACGAGCTAACGTTCCCTATTGGCCTAGCCGAAAAATATACGCATACTCCACTCCATATATACGGGCCACGAAAGACGTTCCATCTCTTTCCTATCGTAGCACCTTCTTACTGGCAATTCACTGTTGCAATTGTCCCTTTGGTTAGAAGATCCTGAAGAGTGAACAAAAACCGGCAAAGAGTATCCAGAGGAAGAGTCTCTTTAGGTAAGTGCACCTGGAGAAATCGAAAGCGACCTCGCAAATCCAACGGTCGTTTTGTTTGACCCGCACTATGACTCTTTCAAGCTTTCTCTTCAGTGGTCTTCTCTTCTTCTAAATAGTTTTCGCGCGTTTTGTCGCGCGTATCACGCTCATATAGTGCCTCGTTGCGGGTCGTTATGGCTTGAACTATCATCGATTCCTGTTGCTTTCACCTTCTTGTAAAAATTTTGCCGGATCGTCTCCTGTATTTAGACTGAGTATAAGATGTAAAAGGCACTGGTGTCATGATCCTAGAAAATTTTGAATTCTTTAAATATGAAAAACGATATTACTACGTTGAATTTATGTTCAACATAGTAGAAATATATTAAGATGTTTATACAATATAGTGTAACAAATTTATCTTGGCCAATTTTTGATTTTTTTAATCTTGCCTTTCAATATATAATTTTTATTGCCAAACAATTATTTGGTAATTTCGAGATTCAATAATGGCGCTTCAAGTTTATTCGAATTAGACTTCTTTTATAGCAAGGAAAACGTATGTAACTTTAGTAATCACATAGCAAATGATTTAAGTAATATTTTAGTAATGAAAATTGCTAAAATTTTCACTGTAATATTAATAAAAACTTTGGTCCAGACGTCATTAATCGAATCTCAAAATCTTCGCTAACATTGTTCATTGAAGTTGTGGAAACTTTTTTACAATATCACGGGTAGCCAAATTAGCAAAGTCCAATTTCCTATTTGGTTCTTTGTTCGGTATTAAATTAAGCCTTCATTTTACCACACAGAAGCGTTCATAATTGATAGTTTCTTAATTAGTAGCGCACTCTCAATTGCTTTTGCTTACGCTCAAATAATTACTTCATAATTATATTTTTTTTATACGTGTTCCGTAAGATTGTTCTCAAATCTTTTAACCAAATTCACACTATGCATGAAATCCTGCTTATTAATTCTCACGCTTTCCACACACACACACACAATTTAGAAGTGCGAAATTTATTTAACAAACATTAGTTAAACCTCCTTTGTTCTTCAAATTGAAAGAAAAATTATCACATTTTCAATTTAAAAAAAAAAAAAAGATTCTGCATATTTTTTTGTCCATTTTGGGTTTTAGATTGTTTTGAAAATCACTCACTTTCTCTTCAATTCACGAGAGGTGATGAGGTTTATCTTCGCGAATGTATATACTTTCCTTGCGTAAGACTTGCAGAAGTCTACGCAACGATGCAACTTGTGGAGCACGTGAAGTATTACTTCTCGGCCGGGAATTCATTACGATATCCTCCATAAAAGGAGAAAAAAGAAGCAAACCTGCTTTTACCCTCACGATTTCCATCACAAAACCACTTGCTCGATTGAACCGAAGAGAAATTCTCTTCCTCGTTGAACAGGCTAAGCAAAAGTTTTTGAATTGAAGATCAATTCTTTTTTTCCTCGACTATTACTTCCTCGTTTCCACCATCCAAACAATCTGTATACGATAATGTTATCAAAATGTTAGAACATGTTTTTTTTTTTTCAAACATAGATATTTATCAAACATTTAAAAATACTTTGATGATTTGGGAGTATTTTTTTTTTTTTTAATTTTGTACTATTTCACATTACATCAACATTTTTTAATATAATGATTCTGATCTATTATTTTTTTAATGTTATATGAACTAATAATAAACAAAGGAAGAGCACACCAAATTATTACACTTTAAAGAAAAAATACATCAAATTATATTAAAGAAGAAAGAAAAGAAATGAAGATGTAAATGGAACAACAGGTGCCATCGGTGACCCACATGTTATTAAGAGTACATTTGCATAAATATGTTGAGAATACCTCTGTGTACGTTGATGTTGAGTATATGGGCACATATCCAGGAATCTATAATTTCGTTCGACGTGTAGTAGACACCATTCAAAAATTTCATTCACAAGTCGTAAAAAAAAAAAAAAAAAAAAAAAAAAAAAAGAAAGAAAAAGAAATGGAATACGGATGAAGTAACTAATCATGATCGGGCGAAAGTCGAAATTGAACCGGCACCGATTTTATTCTTCATCTTCCTTCTTTTTTTTTATTCCTCCGTCAGACGCATTGGTACGCTCCTCTGTCTCGTTTTTGTATCGTCGTACTCGTCCCGAATACGCGTATACAGACAGACGAGGAGCCGTTAAGAAAGACATAGAGCACACAGCCAACCACGTAAACCGGATGATATAAAGCCGGCCAGATAACGGTTCCACGAGCACATATGCGGATACGAAATAAAGCCACGATCTCTCCCTCTTTCTGTTCCTCTTTCGCCGGTACTCTTCTAACCCTTCAACTAGAGACTAATTTACAAAAATACATAGAAGTTTTAGAAAAAAATATATGTGCATATATATGTATAACTAATAAAAGAGAAGGTCCAATGAATTTCTTGTAAATGTCATCTTTCATTACTAAATAGAATGGCTGCAAAAAGTGTTGACACACATTGTATTTATTTTAGTGTTTACGCATTAATTAAATACACTTTTTGTACTTTGAAGAATATGATAGTATGTAAAATCTGATAAAAAATGCTTCATTAGAAAATGAAGATATGTATTCTTTTTGTAGCCATATTTATTTGTGATTTATAGATTAATATAGGGGCTAGATAACATCCTAAAAGGTAATAAACTTGGAATTGAAAAATGCAAAAATATACATAATACGTGAACTATATGAAATATTACATGTACAGTATTTTTTTCTGAAACGAATGCCTACTTGGATTTCATTTCACATGAAATATGCGAAGTACGACATTTGATACGCAAAACAAATCTCTACTTCATGTTTCATGTTTCAATGATGTTCTTAAAGATATGAATTTTCATAAAAATAATTAGTAAATTCATGGAATTAACCCGCAGAATTTCACAATCACTTCGTGACAGGATAACAATAAAATTCTTGAGTAATAGATAAGATGACATTCTGTCGAAAGCCTCATCCGTTCTGTCGACCTTCTTTAACATCTTGCTTCCGGAGAGAATCCTCAACGAAAGCGTCATTTAATTTAAGTCGCAATCGACAAAATAATCCATATGTCAATCACCACTCGTTCTTCACTTTCACAGACATAAAATTACTTTATTTAGTACTTCAACAGAAGGATTTAAATTTTACTCAATAATCAATTATATCTGTAAGAAGTTATAAGGGAATGAATGTGTAGTGTTATATTGCATTAAAACAATTCAGTTGATTAAACATTACCTTTGGTTCAATATTATACAAATTTGCACAGCCATGGTACTGTAATGAAATATAACTATTGTTTAGTTCAAATATTTTCACAAACCATTATCAACTGAACTTCCCTCCCTCTTCTGCGGTCGAGAAACATTTTGTACTGTTCCTTAATTATTTAGTTTATAATTGAATTATCTCTTCCGGGACGGCATTATCATTTCTTCAATCCAGGTGAATGGCCGCTGACACTAATTTTTAGCGAAAGTCGTGCTATTAAGAGCAGAGCTTCATTAAATCCGCAGTGACGTGGAGTCCCAAATAAAGATCACTGTTATTCGGTATAATAATTGAACAAGAAGTGGTTAACGCAATAACGTAATAAAAGATATTTCAATCATACAAATTATAAAATGGAAAGTATGCTAATTGTAAAAGTAAATGTAATTACGTTTTAGCGGCTACGAAAACGAGCGGCTTCCTTCTATCCATTTCCAAGGATTTTAAATGATCGCTTTCTAATCGATTCTCTGCTCATAAAAAGATTATGTAGAGTTTAATATTTTGTACCAGTAAAAATTCCAAATAACTAACTTTAGTATTATCCAAGTCATCATGTTTACCAAGTTCTCAAACTTCCAGTTCCAATCTACCAGTCTCTAAACAGATTATATTTCTACTTATTTTACCCTGCTTTTACAAAGTAAAATAAGTAGAAATATAATCTGTTTCTCGAGCTAATTAACTTAAAGATATCTTCAATTATACTGCGATAAGTGATCTATCATCAGAGATCAACATTGTCTCGATATTAAAACAAATGAATTTCTAACTATGTATTAAAGGTAATTAGCGATCACCTGTACTATTTTTTTAAGTTCTCCAACGTAGCAATTATCAATTTACTTTACGTCACGAAATCCAATTTCCATAAAATGTAACCAATCTACTTAGAAGCTATCATATTGAGTAGTAATCCACATATTCTCTTCCAGTTATTTATCAAGCTGTTACGTACAGATAGCAATCTCGCGAACTTCTTGAAACTATATTTCTTCGTACTACTTACATTCTCTTGCGTTACAGAACGTTGTTGAGATAATTGCTTCATATTCAGATAGCCAGCATGGCTATTAATTGCGGATCGTCTAACGTTTTGTTTTGTCACGAGGACGATTTAGAAAGTTGCAACGAGGCTGCAGAGGCCCCGAGGAAAGTCAGCGACACGTCACAAAAAATAAAGACCTGTTGCAAAATCCTCGAGTATTTTTCCCCATCGTCGTCGTGAGAGAACCTCTCTTCCTTTCATAAATCATAATTCACCGCTGAAAAGTCTCCTTTCACCCTCGACAAAGATTCGTTCCCAAGAAACTTTTACTCGCTAGACATCGGATGCTAGAAACCACGTTTTTCTGGAACATTTGCTATCTGTTGTTTTTATATTAAATAAAATAGCTTCGGACAATAAACTTTTGAATATAATTTTTTTTTTCTTTAATTGAATCTTAAACGCTGCTCAAGTAGAAAATTGGATCGTTATATCAAGCATAAATCTGATTATCTCCTCTTCGTTTATTCAGCAACAACAAATATGAAGACGATATGGTTGATGTTGGTTCTTGTCGCTGTTGTGGTGAATGCTCAACGCCGACTAGCCCTTCCTGATCCACGTAGCTGTGCCAACCGTGAGTGTTTATTAGCTAATATATCTTACTCTAACATTTTTGTAATGAAACAATAAATGGCGACTTATTCTCGTTTAAATCTTGTTCCAGGGGTACGACATGCTACTTATAGGGACGCTAGAGGTGTTGCACATTCGTATTTCTTCAGCTGGGAACACCAACCAACTAGAAATCTTGAAGTAGACTGGTTGGATGCTCGTAACATCTGCCGCAGACACTGTATGGACGCAGTCTCTCTTGAAACACCACAAGAAAATGAATTCATCAAACAGCGAGTGGCAAGAGGTTAATTACAAATGAGAATTATTCTTATTGTGTTTACACTGTGAATTTTTCTTCATTTTCTGTTTTCATGTAGGAAATGTGAGATATATCTGGACATCCGGACGCAAATGCAACTTCAATGGTTGCGACAGACCAGACCTTCAGCCGCAGAACATCAACGGATGGTTCTGGTCTGGTTCTGGAGCCAAAATTGGACCAACCACACAACGTAATTCTGGAGATTGGAGCCACACTGGTGGATTTGGCCAAGCACAACCTGATAACCGTGAAGCTGCTCAAGTAATTTATTTTTTACTACTTTCGTATTCTTCTTCTTCTTCAATTGTTTCTTTCGACCTTTATTTTTTATGATTTTATAACACATGGACTTATGTTACAGGGCAATGACGAGTCTTGCTTGTCAATTCTGAACAACTTCTACAACGATGGCATCAAGTGGCACGATGTAGCTTGCCATCATCGAAAACCATTCGTCTGCGAGGACAGTGATGAACTTCTGAACTTTGTCCTTTCCAGAAACCCTGGCATTCGCTTTTAAAAGCTTCTTTTCGTAGCTTCTATTAATTCTTGAATGTTCAGTATCTAAGATAATTTTTCAATCGCGCATGAGTAGCAAAGAATTTTTCTATCTCTTGACTCTTCTAATTTATATAATTGTAAAGTATAATCCTCCATTATAAATTAATTTAAATATCTTCATTCACGATTGTATCATAAGGAATCTGCATTCTCGAAATGAATTAAATTACAATTTGATGAATTAGATATTGAACAATCAAGCATTGCATTAGATTTAGACTAAGTAGAAGCTGCTTATATCTAAGTTTTAACTTTTGTACACTTTTTCTATACAAAATAAAAAGCATTCGCTAAGAAGTTTGGAATTAGTGATCTTTTGTCTCAAAGTTCTAAAAGGTAATACAATTTGGAATTTTTAAAAAATCTTTATTTTGTTCCTTAGTACCTCGCGATTTACACCTTTAAAGCATACTTCCTTGGAGGGAAAGCAGATCGTTTGCGAATTTCTTTCGGAGTTTTCCTATTGGCTTGGTAAGGCGTCAGAGCTCTCCTAATAGCTCTAGTTTTCTTTGGCCTCAAATCCAAAGGCTTGTACTTGTGATTTTTGTACAATAAACGCAAGTTTTCCTTCTGTTTCTGGTGCATGATAATATATACCCTAGCTATTGCCTTCCTCACTACACGTCTGAAATGCATAAAAGAGAAATAAAAAATTTGTTCGAATGATTTTCCAGTTGTTGAAAAAAATCGACCAGTTACCTTCAAGCATTTCAATTAAAAATATATGTAAAAATTCTTATGAAATTGCATAAGAGAAAGATGTAAGTTGTATAAAATTACATTGAACTTTACATAACTAACGAGTTCAAGATTTTCGTTACGTTATGTTGATTTTATTGTTAATGAAGCTTTTAACTAAAATTTAATTCGTTGAGACGGAGGTTTTGCATGAAATACATACGTACATTTTCGAAAGTTTGGATGCAGCACCACCAGTAACTTTCGCAACACGAAGGGTTGTCAGCTCAGTTTTGAGCTCGATCACCTGCTTGAGCAGCTCATTTTTATCTTTTGTCCTCAGATCAGTACACTTAACCTTAACCTGAAACAGCACAACACTACCTTTATAACATTGCAACACTTTTGACAAATTTTGAAAATTTTCACGTTCAACACGTTTTGTTTTATGTTGCCGCCAATGGAAATATAATTTTACGATACTTCCCTAACACTGATTTCCTATTAAAAGGAACCGACGTATAATTTAATTAACCAATACGTCCGAAACTAATTGCTAATGTACATAAAAACGACATTGACAAGATGAAAAATTTTCAGTTAAAGGTGAAAGATGTTGAGCGTCATGATGGAAGACCGAGAGGTTATGTCCACGCCTCTCGTCTCGAACGTGACTAACGGCTAATAAAAATGTTATGATACTTTTATGGGAATTGCAGTTGAAAACATTATAATCAAACAGATAATTAATAATTGCGAAGGATGTTTTGAGCAAAATTAGATTTCCAACAACTCACTAACCATCTTGCAGTTGTTCTTCTTCAACGGAAAAAGGAAATAAGAAACAAAACCACGAATCAACGAAACACATTACCACATGTGATTGGAGAATACCTGCACTGCTATCTTACTGCTCCCTATCGATGAAAATATTTACTACATTTAAATTATACATTTGAATGTACTTACACCTCTATGAAAAAGGAGAATTATTTCCTTTACTTTACGTAAAAAAAAAAAATAATAAAATTACGAAAAATTTAAGTTATTTTCTACAATTAGATTATTACAACAATAGATGTCCCGCAATATCAATGATTTTTATACTATATTACTGTGCGATGACATCTTTGTAATTATGGTGGCACAGAGGTCTTTTTCTTTAGGTTATGTTCAAAGAATGAGACATTTTAAAAGAATATTTGCAATAGAAATTATGACAATGTGAATCGAGATTAAAATGTGATTATATTGAATGATTTAGATAATGAGGCTGTATGTTTTGTATGATCCACCAAATGATTTCAAAATATTAATGAGAGAATAATGACAGCAGGAAAATAAATAGTACTATGTTACACTATCAATAAAGATTTTTGATTATTTTCCTTTGCCTTTAAGATATATTATCTATTTCGACAATGAACTCGAAAGACGATACGCAAAAAGTTCAACGTGTACTTTTTGACGAAGCTCTGACGAAGGTAGACTATTAAATAAAAATAAAAAAAAATAGAAATAAAAATAAAAAAATTCATTAAAAGTAAAACATTTGCATTATAAGCATACGTACATGATTGCTTTGCTAATCTTAGGTCTAAAATTTATGAAAGTTTCAACATTATAATTTTATAAAGTTTAAATAATCATGTATTGATACTTTTTAAGGGAATCCAACGAAATGAGGAGCAATGCAAAATATGGACAGATTACAAAAAGGGTCATCAAAAAGTTGCAGAGACGCTACAGATTTTTCAAAAAGATTTGTATGTGAATTGTATGGTGCCAATTGGGAAACGTGCACTAATGAAAGGCAAACTAATTCATACAAATGAAATACTTGCGTGTCTGGGTGATGGATACTTTGCAAAGTATAGTGCATCAGGTGCAACAGCTCTTTGTGAAAGAAGAATACAAAGTATGGTCAACATGCGATGATCTGTTAGTAACCAGAATTTAATAAAACAACAATTGTGATATTTTGTTCCAGGAGCTGATGAAATGTTAAAAAAATTAAGTGCAGAAAGGGATTTGTATGAAACTAAAATGATGATGATAGAAAACAATGTTTTTGAGGACTTTGTTGGGAAAGAAATTGTGGAACATTGGAATGAAGATCAAATTGCAGAGTGGAAAAGTAATTGTCTTTACTTTTTGTCTGTCAATGAATTTCTATAGCTATTTAAACGACTTTTAATTTTTTTAAATAGAAAAACACAGAGAAAGAGAAAGAGAATATCATCAGAAATTAGCTAAAGTTAGGCAGGAAGAAAAGAAAAAAATAAAGACCGAAGAAGATTTATTTAACAGGCTTGATCAGCTTGAAATTGAAGAAGAATTAGCAGATGAATTTAATAGGTAAATTTTTCAGCCTCTGAAGTTTCAAATTATTTTTATAGTTATTCCAATTTATAGACTAGAAGATGAAAAATATGAACTTTTTGATGAAGATGAATTGGAAGAAGGAGAATGTTACTATGAATCAGAAAATTCTTCTGAGAGCGAAAAAGAAGAAGAAATAAAAGAAGAA